CCATTGTCAAGTATTTTTCTGTTTGGAAGGACATTTTATTTTTGGCCAGCCATTTCAATGAAATGATGTTTGCAAGTGACTCAATATTGGTTTGGGCATTAACATCCAGAACTCCTTGTTTGAATATTGCCTTGGCCAGATCGACTGAGAATAGATATTGTGTTGAGAAGCCGAGATGGGAGATGATTTGGAGAAGTTGATTGATCCATGTGGTGAGTTGAAGTGTGGCCAACTGTTCTTCAAGGCACATTTTTGGTAGTCTGTCAGGTTCCGTTGAAAGGATCCTCCACCAGTAATTAAAGACTTTGATTACTGCTAGACTCTAAATGGAATGGATGCCGGTTTCAACTCTTACTGCTACTGCAGGTATATTCCTGTTGGTCCCTAAAATAGTTCTTAGAAAGCATGCTTGATTTTGTTCCAGTAGAGGCTTTTGATAGTCCCCACAGATCTGTACCACATGTTAGCATTGGTCTAATTTTCACCTTGTGGACCTTTAGAATGGGGAACAGAGAGCTTGGGTGGCTGTAGCTAAGTAATTTAGTTAGCTTTTTGGAGCTTGTTGTTGCTTTTATAGAACTTTGTTTGAAATGGTTAGCCCAAGACCCTGTATCTGTAAAAACTACCCCTAGATATGAGAAGAAATCTACTTCCCATCCTCGGCCCCTCCTCTGTGGGGTGCTGCAGAGTTTGGTTCTCTCTCTGCTCCTTTTCAACATCTACATGAAACCGCTGGGTGAGATCATCCACCATCATGGGATAAGGTATCATCAGTATGCTGATGATACGCAATTATTCATCTCCATCCCAGGTGAGGTAAGTGATGCCGTGACTGCCCTTTCGCGGTGCCTGGAGGCTGTAAGGGTCTGGATGGGGAACAATAGGCTTCAGCTGAACCCTGGTAAGACAGAGTGGCTATGGGTTAATGGCTCCTCGGTATCCAGGACCTTGTCACCTTTGGGGCTGGATGGGGGAGCACTGCCCCAGACAGACCCAGTGCGTAATCTGGGAGCCCTCCTAGACTCACGGCTCCTGCTTAAAGAGCTGTGGCAAGGAGGGCCTTTGCACAACGTCAGGTTGTGCATAAGTTATGCCCTTTCCTGGATCAGGATGCCCTTCAAACCTCACTCATGCCCTTGTTATCTCCCAGATAGACTACTGCAATGCACTCTAT